TACTGCGTCGTTGACGATGGCTGAGACGCAAATGTTGAGATTCTATTAAAATTATAATTGACAAGTTATCAATATGATAGCTGACGACAAAATCAACGATACCTCGTCTCATGTGAATTCGATTGTTACCTTTCTTTTGAAACCGTTTTCCATCAATTCCACAATGTCCATACCCTCCACATTATCGAGATCAAATCCTTTACCCATTGTTGTCACGGTTCCGCGATTGATAGCGACTTGACTATTAATAACGAATTAGCCGCCGTCATTGCAAGGTTCAGGCCACCACAAACATACAAATTTGTAAACCGATTTGCTTTATATACCATCCGCTATATATCATCTATACGAACTTACTTAACAGGAAAACTGAATGTAGCTCCAACGATGACGGGCTTTTTATAATCAATACCTTTCTCATCCAGAACCGTTTTCACCATTTCAGCAATCCAATCAAATAAACCGTCTCCATTTCCCTTTTTCTTCTCATCCGGTATACTAAAGCTCTTTTTTGTCTCTGAATCAAATCGATTATTTCCCAGTAGACGAACAACGGCGACTCTGAGATTAGTTCCACCAAGATCAATTGCAAGATATTCGCCAATTTCGGTGCCAGTAGGAAAGATGGAAACAAACGATGGAATCATCGTTGGGGCATCTTCGGAGAGACCTGATTTGAAAGAGGAGATGAGAGCGCTCTTGATAGAGACGAGAGCATCATGACCTAGAAAAGTTTGTTCTTGTAATTTTGTTAGGGAATTTGGAAGAGACGTCATCATGCAAAGCGGTGAAATTAGACGTATAGATTATATGTCAAAGCTCTGAAATATTTGACTAGGTGAGAGGGAAAGCTAATCATTCTAAAAGTTAATAAATAATACGTGCCTAATACTGCAAGGAATAGCCGGGATACCTTAAATTGATGGTTACGGTCGCACGGCTAGGGATGATTGAACATTCCAACCTATTTCTGACATACACGTGACTAAATTTATTGCGCCAGTAAGTTTGGGTTTTGAAATTATGTAATGATTTTTATTATACTTTGATGATGATTTATTTATATTAATTAATATTGGTTGTTGACTGTATCAATTATAAATTATGATGATTGGTATTATTATGGCTGTAATTAAATTACACCAACAGCAGCCGCAGTTTTGAAAGGAAAGAATTCCATTGAGAGGCGGATTTGTCCGTGTTTGGAACCAAACAAAGGATACCACTTCGGTGATAATTTTCTTTTTATCCGGCGAACAACAGCAATACCGATCTACATATAAAGCGTAAGTTGATGAGTGAGTATGAATCAATGGGTAATGACCTATCGTTTTTAAAATTACGTACAAAATTATCGGGATGTGAAGGGGGACGGTTTTTATCCAGAACACCAACATAGACTGTAGTTTGGTTTGTAATACAAAAATATAAATCATCATTCCAAACTGGATTTAGCGTATTGGTT